AATCAGAACTAAATGAAATTGACAACAGGGCAACCATATGGAAGATTAATAAAACAAAAAGTTGGTTCTTTGAAAAAATAAACAAAATTGACACACTTTTGCCTAGACTAATGAAAAGCAGAAAAGAAATATCTCTAATAAGCTCCCTCAGGAACAATAAAAGAGAAATTACAACTGATGCCCTGGAGATATAAGATATAATTTACGAATACTACAAAAACCTCTATGCACACAAACTGGAAAATGTGGAGCAAACAGACAATTTCTTAGAAACACACAGCCTCCCTAGGCTCAACCAGGAAGAAATAGAATTCCTGAACACACCAATATCAAGTACTGAAATTGAAACAGCAGTAAAAAACCTTCCTAAAAAGAAATGTCCTGGACCAGATGGTTTCACACACAAATTTTTACCACACCTACAAAGAACTGGTGCCTATCCTACAGAAATTATTCCACAACATCGAGAAGGATGGAATCCTCCCCAACACATTTTATAAAGCGAACATAACCCTGATACCAAAACCAGGAAAGGATGCAACAAAAAAAGAAAACTACAGACCAATATCCCTTATGTATATAGATGCAAAAATTCTCAACAAAATCCTAGCAAATCAAATCCAGGTGCTTGTCAAGAAAGTAATTCATCACAACCCTGGGCTTCATCCCAGGGATGCAGGGATGGTTCAACATACACAAATCTATACAATTCTCAACAAAATCCTAGCAAATCAAATCCAGGTGCTTGTCAAGAAAATAATTCATCACATCCCTGGGCTTCATCCCAGGGATGCAGGGATGATTCAACATACGCAAATCTATAAATGTAATTCACCATATAAACAGAAGCAAAAGCAAAGAGCATATGGTCCTCTCGACAGACACAGAAAAAGTATTTGACAAAATTCAACACACTTTTATGATAAGAACACTCAACAAAATAGGCATAGACGAGGCTTACCTAAAAATGATACAAGCCATATATGACAAACCCACAGCCAATATCATACTGAATGGGGGAATATTGAAAGCACTCCCCCTTAGAACTGGAACAAGACAAAGTTGCCCACTAACTCCACTTCTGTTCAACATAGTGCTAGAAGTCTTCGCTATAGCAATCAGACAAGAGAGCAGAATTAAGGGCATCCAAATGCGAGCAGAAGAGATGAAACTCTCAGTCTTTGCTGATGACATGATATTATACCTAGAAAACCCCAACAATTCAACCAAGAGACTCCTTGAATTGATAAATGAATTTGGTAAAGTCTCAGGATACAAAATCAATACACAGAAATCACAGGCATTCATATACACCAACAACAGTACAAGTGAAAACCAAATCGAAGACTCAATTCCCTTCAAAATAGCAACAAAGAAAATAAAGTAACCTGGAATATATTTAACTAAGGAGGTAAAAGACCTCTAGAGTGAAACTATGAAATGCTGAAGAAGGAAATAGCAGAGGACGTAAACAGATGGAAGAATATTCCATGGTCATGGGTTGGCAGAATCAACATTGTTAAAATGTCTATACTACCCAAAGTAACCTACAGAGTCAATGCAATCCCTATCAAAATATCATCATCATTTTTCACAGATATAGAAAAAATAATTTTACACTTCGTATGGAACCAGAGTAGACCCCGTATAGCAAAATCAATCCTAGGCAATAAAAACAAAATAGGAGGTATCAATTTACCAGACTTGAAACTATACTACAAGGCTATAGTAATTAAAACAGCTTGCAATCAGCACAAGAACAGGGACATTGACCAGTGGAACAGAACAGAGAACCCAGATATAAAACCATCCTCATATAGCCAACTAATCTTTGACAAAGCAGACAAAAACATACACTGGGGAAAAGAATCCTTATTCAATAAATGGTGCTGGGGAAACTGGATAGCCACATGTAGAAGACTGAAACAAGACCCACACCTTTCACCTCTCACAAAAATCAACTCACGCTTGGTGAGAGACTTGGTAACAGACTTCAACATTAGGTGTGAAACTATTAGAATTCTAGAGGAAAATGTTGGAAATACCCTTCTAGACATTGGCCTAGGCAAAGAATTTATAAAGAAGACCCCAAAGGCAATCACAACAGCAACAAAAATACAATGGGACCTGTCAAATTAAAAGCTTCCGCACCAGCAAAGAAACTGTCAAGAAGAAGCAAACAACAACCAGCAGAATGGAGAAAATTCGCAAGCTACACATCTGATAAAGGGTGACAAACGAAATCTATTAGAACTCAGGAAATCAGCAAGAAAAATCAAACAACTATCACACAAATGGCAACAGGAACATGAACAGAAACTTCTCAAAAAGAAGACAGAATAATGGCCACAAACATAGAAAATGTCAACATCTCTAATCATCAGGCGAAATGCAAATCAAGACCACAATGAGATGCCACCTTACCCAGTGAAATGCCTTTTTCAAAAAGTCTCTCAGCGCCTGCGATGGGCTTCCGCCTCTGTAATCCTAGCACTCTGGCAGCCGAGGCAGGTGGATGCTCGAGGTAAGGAGTTCAAAACCAGCCTGAGCCAGAAGCAGACCACGTCTTCTACTAACAAATAGACAAGAATTAATGGCCACTAGTATCATAACCAAAAATTAGCCCAGGCATGTGCGCTCATGTCTGGATCCAGCTACTCGGGAGGCTGGGCAGCGAATGCTGACCAGAAGATTGTGGTTGCTGTGAGCTAGGCTGACGCCACGGCACTCAATCTAGCCTGGACAACAAAGCGAGACTCTGTCTGGAAAAAAAAAAAGTCCCCAAACAACACAATGCTGGCATGGATGTGGAAAAAGAGGACACACTCTGCACTGCTGGTGGGATCGCAAACACTAGTTCAACCTCTGTTGGAGAGAATATGGATACCTCAAAGCGATCACAGTACGGGCTACTATTTGCATCCAGTGATTCGCACTACTGGGCATCACCAAAAAGACTCCAAAAAGTCCTTTATGCAAAAAAGACACCTGCACTCGACATGTATTAGCAGCACATTACATGCAAAAGCTGTGAACAACCCAACGTGCCCATCATTCATGAGGGGATTAAAAAATGTGTATATGGTAACCATGAAGTACTAGTTCAGCTTTAAGAAACAATGGTGATATAGCACCTCTTGTATATTCCTGGATAGAGCTGGAACCCATTCTACTAAGTGAAGTATCTCAAGAATGGAAAAACCAGCACCATGTGTAGTCACCAGCAAATTGGTATTAACAGATCAACACTTAACTGGACATATAGGAGTAACATTTATCAGGTGTCAGAAGGGTGGGAGGTGGTGGAAGGGATGGGTATATACAACCACAACGAGTAAGATGTACAACGTTTGGGGGATAGACACCCTTGAAGTTCTTAATCGAGGGGGGAGGGGGGTCATGGGCAATATATGTAACCTTAACATTTGTACCCCCATAATATGCTAAAATAAAAAAAAGAAAGAAAGAAAAAATAAATTTTGCAGAGACACTTTTCAATCCCTAATATCCTAACCTTTATCCCTTATGAAAAGTCTGGTATTTTAAAAGATTAGAGTTCAAGGTAAAAGACTTCCCACATTCACTACACTCATAAGGCCTTTTCCCTCTGTGAACTATCTGGTGATTATTGAGGTTAGAACTCTGGGGAAAGGATTTGCCACATTCATTGCATTCATAAGGCCTTTCTCCAGTGTGAACTCTTCGGTGTTTAACAAGACCAGAATGGTTGCTAAAGGATTTCCAACACTCACTGTACTCATAAGGCCTTTCTGCTGTATGAATTCCCCTATATCTAATAAGGCTAGAGCTTTGACTAAAAAATTTCCCACATTCCTTGCACCCATAAGGCCTTTCTCCAGTGTGAACTCTCTGGTGTTGCTGGAGCGTAGAGCTATGGGTAAATGATTTCCCACAATCCCCACACTCATAAGGCCTTGCTCCAGTGTGAATTTTCCAATGTGCAATGAGGTAGGATTTGCAGGTAAAGGATTTTCCACATTCGTTGCTTATGAGACCTTTCCTCAGTGTGAAGTCTCTGATGTACAATGAGCTCAAATTTCCTGATAAATAATGTTCCGCATTGATCACATTCACGAGGTCTTATTCCAGTGTGAACTCTCTGGTGTTGGAAGAGATGGGAACTATAAGTAAAGAATTTTCCACATTTGCTATACTCATAAGGCCCTTCTCCAATGTGAAATCACCAATGTCTAATGAGGTGACAGCTCTGGCTAAAGATTTCCCACATTCACCACACCTATAAGGTCTTGTTCCAGTGTGAACTCTCTGGTGTGTAATGAGGCTAGAGCTATGGATAAAGGATTTCCCACACTCACTGCACTCATAAGGCCTTTCGCCAGTGTGGACTCACTGATGTATAATGTGGTCATATTTCCTGCTAAATAATTTTCCAGATTCATTACATTGATGAGGTCTTACTCCAGTGTGAACTCTTCTGTGTGTAATAAGGCTAGAGCTTTGCCTATATGATTTCCCACGTTACCCACATTTTTAAGGCTTTTCTGAGGTATGAACTCTAAAATGGTAATTGAGGCTACAGCTAGTGCTAAAAAACTTCCCACGTTCACTCTACATGTAACACCTTTCCCTACTGAGGGCTCTCTGGTGTGGAAAAGTACATGCTTATAGCTGAAAGCTTTCATGCATTCTCCCCAGCTATAACGACTTTTTACAATGTGAAAGGCCATAGTACTCTTGATTCTGCTGTTTAACATCTGCCCAGTGTGAGTAGACTGTTGCTGAAGAAATCCTGAGCTGGCCAGGAAATCCTTCCCAACCTCCCTGCAGATAAAGTGTTTCCCAAATACTTGGAATTTGCAGTTGTTCAAATACAAGTCTCTAGGCCGGGCGCAGTGGCTCACGCCTGTAATCCTAGCACTCTGGGAGGCCAAGGGGGGGTGGTAATCACTTTAGGTCAGGAGTTCAAGACCAGCCTAAGCAGGAGTGAGACGCCATCTCTACTAAAAATAGAAACAAATTAATTAGCCAACTAAAAATATATAGAAAAAATTAGCCGGGCATGGTGGCTCGTGCCTGTAGTCCCAGCTACTCGGGAGGCTGAGGCAGGAGGATCGCCTGAGCCCAGGAGTTGGAGGTTGCTGTGAGCTAGGCTGACGCCACAGCACTCACTCTAGCCCGGGGAACAGAGTGAGACTCCTATGTAGTGAAACTCAGTCGTTTCCTACATGCCCCATCCATGTACAGCTTCTGCCCGTGATGTAACCCCTGGTGCTGAACCAAGTGCAAAATGTGTCTCAACACTGGGCCATGTATCTCACAAGGGCTGGCCTTCTGGGGAGAAGGATGGCCCTTGGCAGCCCTAATCTGCAACAGTCCTTGCGGAGAAACGCTCCACTGAGAAGGTGCCACCTCATCCTCTGTTCCACAGCAATCAGCTGAAAGGAAGGAAATGTTGGTAAGGTACACTGACTGTTGAATGTAGTGGGAGAGCGCAGCCCATAGACAAACTGTGCATTTGACAAACCCAGGAACTGAGTCCATGGGATTGTTTTCAGGACCAGGGTGTTGGAGTCAAGTTGAGGATGGGGTCTGCCTAGCAGGACTGGGCTGCTAAATATCACAGAATGTAGGCCACATAAATTAAAAGATACAACAGTGGGATGCTACAGGGAGAAGTGGCAGGATGTAAAACTCATTCCCCTAGCAGAACTTTTTTTTTCCTTTTTGAGACAGAATCTTGCTCTGTTGCCCAAGCTAGGGTGCCATGGCATCAGTCTCACTCACAGCAGCCTCAAAGCAATCCTCCTGCTTCAGCCTCCTGAGGAGCTGGGACTACAGGCATGCGTCACCATGCTTGGTTAATTTTTTCTATATATTTCTAGTTGGCCAATTAATTTACTTCTATTTTTAGTAGAGACGGGGTCTTGCTCTTGCTCAGGCTGGTTTCGAACTCCTGACCTTGAGCGATCCTCCTGCCTCGGCCTCCCAGAGTGCTAGGATTACAGGCGTGAGCCACCAGCCTGGCCCAGCATTACCTATTATCAACTGGTCCTCTGCCTGTCACTCTCCCACACCGCATTCCACTGAATATCAGAAACAGGGATGCCCGCGAGAGCGTCACTGTCCCCGACCCTGGGGCCTGGGCTGCAAGGACGTGAGCAGTCGCCCCTCGGGGCTTGAGGACTCGGGTGGGTGAGGCCCAGAGGACATGGCACTCACCTGAGTCGCATAACTCCGCTGGCGGCCGCCATCGGCCCCTGTGGGCAGAGGGGGGGGGGGAGCCCCGGCCCCTATCCCCGGCCTGACCGGGTCACCACCGGGGGCTCCGCCAAGCCTCAAACATGCTTCTGTGCAGCGGGGAGATGACTCCGGTGGCACTTTCTCGGTCCTCTCTTTTTTTATTTATTTATTTTTTTTGAGACAGAGTCTCGCTTTGTTGCCCAGGCTAGAGTGAGTGCGGTGGCGTCAGCCTAGCTCACAGCAACCTCAAACTCCTGGCTCAAGCAATCCTCCTGCCTCAGCCTCCCGAGTAGCTGGGACTACAGGCATGTGCCACCATGCCCGGCTAATTTTTTTGTATATATTAGTTGGCCAATTAATTTCTTTCTATTTATAGTAGAGACGGGGTCTCGCTCTTGCTCAGGCTGGTTTCGAACTCCTGACCTCGAGCAATCCGCCCGCCTCGGCCTCCCAGAGAGCTAGGATTACAGGCGTGAGCCACCGCGCCCGGCCTCTTTTTTTATTTTATTATTTTTTTTGAGACAGGGTCTCTCCTTGTTGCCCGGCTAGAGTGAGTGCCGTGGCGTCAGCCTAGCTCACAGCAACCTCAAACTCCTGGGCTCAGGCGATCCTCCTGCCTCAGCCTCCCGAGTAGCTGGGACTACAGGCATGCGCCACCATGCCCGGCTAATTTTTTCTATATATATTAGTTGGCCAATTAATTTCTTTTATTTATAGTAGAGACGGGGTCTCGCTCTTGCTCAGGCTGGTTTCAAACTCCTGACCTCGAGTAATCTGCCCGCCTCGGCCTCCCAGAGTGCTGGGATTACTGGCGTGAGCCACTGCGCTTGGCCTCTCGGTCCTCTCATTTCGTTGAGGACACACAGCTCCACTGCGTGCAGCCAAGGGAATACACCTGAGAAAAGCCAAAACGACCGCCATTAGGAGGGGGCCGGAAGTCCCGCCCCGACTTTGCCTGTACCAACGGAAGCGCCACTTTTCTGAGACCTCATTGGCTTGGCGTCATCATCGCCGGACGCAGGATATTCTGGGTAATGTGGTTCCCACAGATCCACAGCTAGAGAGTGAGGTCGCGCCCCACGGGACTTCCAGAGGGAAAAGCGAGGGGCGCTGAGAAATGGCGTCTCCAGCTCGCGGCCGTAAACGGGGCTTCCCGCTTCCTAAAAAAAATCGAACTCATTTCTGCGGATTGTTGTCCGCATGTGTTCACGTAAGTATTTGAGGACGTTATTTCAGACGTTCCCAAAGGCCGTGGATCCAAACGTACGTGGTTATTCAGTCACAAAATAGGTCCACTGCTTGAGAAAGCAAATAAAAATTGCCGTGTTGCAATTCAAACGCATCACTCTGAAGCATTAGAGTCAGTTTATTAGTCTCTGTGTGCTTGGTTACGACAAGAAAGACTCCACGTAGGGACATGACAAGGAAGATGGAGGTGGGACGCCCAGGCATCCTGTAGCAGGAGTATACAGGGTCGCTGTCTCTGGTTCTCACAGAAAATATCTCTCCTGCATGTGCACCGTGTTTCCCCGAAAATAAGCCAGGGTCTTATATATATTTTTCCTCAAGAAGACACCCTAGGGCTTATTTTCAGGGGATGTGTTATTTTTTTTAAGTACGGTACAACAATCTATATTTGCTCAAATATAGTGAAGTCGTCTTCGGGAACATCATCCTAACTCTCCAAACCCTGAATCCGTCCTGAATTTCTTGCGACTCTATTTCCTTTAGAACCATTGGCCCCAATCTCATGTAGAGCCATGGAGCTCTCATGGGGCAGATGAGAAGGGCTGCTCCTGTTCTTTCCCGCTCTGCCAGGACAGGCATGGGCTGTGCAGATGCGCTGCGTGGCCACGCCCGTCACTAGGGCTCATTTTCCGGGTGGGACTTCTACTGCGCAAATGCTTAGAAATCCTGCTAGGGCTTATTTTATGGGTAGGTCCTATTTTCGGAGAAACATGGTAATTACTGTGTCCCGTTTAGTAAGCAACACTTTTATGCATTTAATTTCCTGCTCTATACCTTTATATTCACTTTCTTTTGGTACTCTGACATCAAGCTCAAAAAGAAAACAAAAAGAAACGCATTTTGATAAGGCACAATGGCTAGAGTGTTCACAGGTGGAGCATGTATGCGAGGAGTGCTTTGAATCTCAGAATATATGGATTATCTTTAATCCCTGAGCTCTTCTCATAGCCGAAGTGATTATCATTGCCCTTGTGTTTACAGGAATTGTTCTGCATCAGAAATTTATATTATCTCATAAAAAGAATTGTAAAATGCAAATTGCAGAAAGCTATTAATATTGACAATGTAGTGATTCAAGAATGGTGGCAGAAACTTGTCTGGGGAAATACCATTGGATGGTGAAAAAAAGCAAAGATCTCAGAGAACTTTTTTTATTATTATTATTATTTTATTTATTTATGTATTTATTTTTTGAGAGAGAGTCTTACTCCATTGCCTGGGCTAGAGTGCCGTGGCATCAGCCTGGCTCACAGCAACTTCAAACTCCTGGGCTCAAGCAATCCTCCTGCCTCAGCCTCCCAAGTAGCTTGGACTACAAGCATGTGTCCCCATGCCTGGCTAATTTTTTCTATATGTTTTTAGTTGTTTGGCTCATTTCTTTCTATTTATAGTAGAGATGGGGTCTCGCTCTTGCTCAGGCTGGTCTCGAACTCCTGAGCTCAAACGATCCGCCCACCTTGGCTTCTCAGAGTGCTAGGATTACAGGCGTGAGCCACCACGCCTGGCCTCAGAGGACTTTTAATAGTGATATCTGAGAAAAGATAGAATTAGTTGAGCACATGACAAGAATGGTCACTTTGAAGGTTTTGTCTCCGAATATGATTCTTTGTTCTTTAAATCATTGAGCAATACCAGCATGAAGAGATAGTTAAAAGGGACATTTAGGTAGCCAGCATTGTAAAAATATAGAGGGGAACTGAGTTATCATATTTATTCACTGGGCTAACACAGATCAGTGAGCAAATACTTGGCTTCAGGCACTTATTGTCAGTACACAGGAGACCCTGGGTCACCTGAGAGACAAAGATCCTTGTCTGTGGAACTTATATTGTACTTAAAGGAGGCAGATAAGAAACTCGAAAGAAGATATACTCATTTATATAGTATGTTACAGTGTGGATGGCACAATGGAAAGAAGATGAATGGTATTAGAAGCAGAGTATGGGGTGTACATTACATCACACAGTAAGGGAGACCTCTTTCACAAGTGGGCCATTTCACAAACATTTGAAGAATGTGACCAGTGGGTGAGCAATATGGGTATTTCTGGAATAAGTTCCAGACAGAGGAAGAAGGTGGCTAGGAAGGTTTGGTGGCTGGAGCTTTCACGGGGGCACCTCAGCAGTTCAGGGCCTGGAACACCAGTCCAGTTAGCCATTGGCCTACTTTGCTTACTGCAGAGACACTCGGGGTGTGGATGAGAAACATTGGCTCTGCCTCTGAAAGTCTGCAAATCTCCACAGTGGTTGATTGGAGCCTGGAACCAGGCACCCTCCCTAGTTTCTGAGTATCATTCCTGGAACTTCACCAACAGAGTCACTTTAGGACTCTTTACAAATGCACATTCTAATTTCGAACCCCCCCTAGTGAATCTGACATTTTGTGGATCAGGCCCCAGAATCAGGGTTTTACCAAAATTCCAGATGATTTCGATGTACATTTAAGAACATTCCAACCTGCTGGTTATTGTGTACCACATGGCTGAATTTATTAGAACTGTCAAAGTCAAATAAAATATAGAGACGAATCTCTAAATTTAAATGATTTATTTTCGGAAGCAAGAATTGCAATTCAAGGCATACAAATAGAGTAGGTAGTCTCCGGTAGGACTGAAGAACAAAGAGAAAGCCAGAGGTTTTCCCAGTCTGGCCATTGGGATCACAGACTATTTCTGATAAGTTACTTGCATACATGCACTAATCATTCCAAACTGAAGACTTGGGGCACCCTCTCTGTCTGGCTCCCTTCTGTGCCACTGTCCTGGGAATCTTAGCCATCTGGGTCAACTTCACTTGACTCTTTGTCTTTGACTCAAAGAATCAGCCTGATTCTGTTTGAATTTCCCTTCCCTGCAACAAAACTTGGAAAAATTCTCTCCTGGAAGTAAGCTGGGACAATTGTAGGGCTTATCTCCTTAATTTCCCACCCCTCAGGATTCACTTTCATGCATTGTGTGTTGTCCTTTGTCTGAAAACCATTGTTTTCACATATTTTTTATGGGCTTTCAGGTATGTATGGCTTGAAGTTCAATCTAGTCTTTGTTGCTCCATCATGGTTGAAAATGGAAGTCTCCATCCATGTTTGGCTTTTTCCTCAGTGTGGTATCTCCTTTGGCAATCTCACTTGAAGGCGGCTTTATGGCATTTTTATCCCCAAAATGTTTCCTGACCTTTTTAGCTATAGGTTCTCTCAATATGGGAGAAACTGGTACCAAGGTACCATGGAGTATCTGTAGCTATTTGCACTTGCCCTTTGGCTTCCAACTAAGATAGGATCAAGTGTTCTTTGAACCTCTCCTACTTCAAGGGACATTTCCTGCTTGCCTAGCTAATATGTGTATCATTAGAAAAAGAGACCCTGAAAACATGTGTGTGAATCATGTTACAAAGCCCTACTTACGCCTAAGCTACCAATTTCAGTTTTTCCACTTACTATATGTGGTAGGCTGAATCATAATTCCCAAAGATGTCCACATCACAATCCCCGGTATATGTGAATATTAGTTTATATGGCAAAGGGGGCTTTGCAGATGTGATTACAGATCTTGAGGTGGGGAGATTACCCCGAATGTTCCAGGTGGGCCAGGTGTCCTCGTAAGAGGGAGGCAGCAGAGGTGGGGGGGGTGTTCATCACAGGAGAGGAGGAGGAGACATGACGAGGAACAAGAGGTCCAGAGGGACATGAAGAAGGGATCCCAAGCCAGAGCGTGAGTAGCCTTTGGAAACCGGACAGACAAGGAAGTGGGTCATCCCCAGAGCCTGTATAAGGAACCACCCCCCAGTGTGGTTGAGGTATGTGAGATTTTAGATTTTTTTTTTTTGAAAAAATTTACATATATATAATAATTAATTAAAAAAAAGGAAAAAAAAAAAGGAATTTACCCAGTGAAACTAATTTGGATTTTTCTTTTTTTAATTTAATAGACAGGGTTTTGCTGTGATTCCCAGGCTGGATTCAAACTCCTGGGCTCAAGCAATCCTCCTGCCTCAACCTCCCAAGGAGCTGGGACTACAGCCACACACCACTATGCCCAGCTTGATTTAGATTTCTGACCTTTATAACTGTAAGAGAATAGATTTATGTACTTGTACTCCACTAAGCTGCTGGTAATTTGTTATAGCAGCACAACAGAAACTAATACACTCACTATATATTAGGCTTGAGGCTGCCAAAAATTGTACTTTATAGAGCGAGTGTATTAGTTTTCTGTTGTTGCATAACAAATGACCACAAACCTACCGGTTTAAAACAACACACCCATATACTGTCTCACAATTACTTAGTTAGAGGTCCAGAGAATTGCCTCCTTGGGAACTGTACCTAGCTCTCGATTTTTATGATTGAAACAGCATCAATAAAAGCTTGACATTGTGCAAAGAGAAACATGCGGACCTGGTTATCTCTGGCCTTGGATGGCTCACAAGAGTACCTTACAGAGCTCTCAGTCTGAGTATTGTGGTACTTGAAGTGAGATATTTTTCATACCCTACGTGACTGTATACTCCCTTATTCCTCCTGCCATGTTTCTGTACTTGTTTCTTACCACCCATCCACGTTCTCTAAAGTCTTCTTTGAGGTCCTGTAAGAAATTTTTCAGAAAACTTTTTTTTTTTTTTTTTGAGACAGAGTCTCACTCTGTTGCCTGGGCTAGAGTGCCGTGGCGTCAGCCTAGCTCACAGCAACCTCAAACTCCTGGGCTCAAGCGATCCTCCTGCCTCAGCCTCCCGAGTAGCTGGGACTACAGGCATGCGCCACCATGCCCGGCTAATGTTTTGTATATATATTTTTAGTTGGTCAATTAATTTCTTTCTATTTTTTAGTAGAGACGGGGCCTCACTCAGGGTGGTTTTGAACTCTTGACCTCGAGCAATCCACCTGCCTCGGCCTCCCAGAGTGCTAGGATTACAGGCGTGAGCCACCGCGCCTGGCCTGGATCTCTTGAGCCCAGGAGTTGGAGGTTGCTGTGAGCTAGGCTAATACCTTGGCACTCACTCTTGCCGAACAACACAGTGAGACTGTGTCTCAAAAAAAACAACAAAAACAAAAAACAATGGAGACAAGCTATGGAATTGACAGGTAATATCGCTAGAAAAGTTATAGCTAAAGCAAGCAGTTCCCTAGCATGGTCTGGGGGTCTGTCCAAAGAAATTACTTGTACAGTATTTCCCGTCAGGAGCAAGAAAAGAAAATCCTGACTATTTCCCTTTCATCCTTAACAAAGTTGGATTTTTTTCTATTTTCCAATTAAGGTGTCATTATTCATGAACTATGACAACCAAGAAGCAAGAATTGCTATATCAAGAGAGTTTATTTTCTGTTATATACCTCTGGCATAACGTGCTCTTCTACAAGGCTCTCTGGGAGCAAGTTACGCTCACATTCTCAGCCCCATCACCCCTGCAGTTTTCCTGCACTTTGGCCAGCACATCCTCCATCACTTCCACTTGCTCTCACAAATTCTCCACGTTGGCATGGGGTGTAGTATTCTTTGGCATTTTTCCCTTTGCTAACTTTTGCTCTTCCCTCAAATTCTTCTCTTCAATATTTTTCTTTCTTTTTGATCTGATAACTAAAATGTAGAAAGGATGCTATTGAGATAGTAATACGTGAGGAATAAAAATGGAGACAAAAAGGGGTGAGGAAACACATGGAAAAAGAGAGGTACCAACAGTAGAATTTTCAGGGCATGATGAATGTTATTTGTCTGACAAGGATGGTGAAAATTGAATTCTAAAATTTTCCCACATAGTATATTTAAATGTTATAAATGCCCAACTTTTTTAAAAAAAGAATATACAAAAGCCGTAATCCCATCTCACAAAAAGACATCGAAAAAATATTTTCTATAGGTTCCGACAAGGGCCTTCTGCCTCATTGAGCACCAGTGATCTCTTCCACCCTTGGCCTCCCAGCCTCTCTCTGCTGTCTGTGTCTGGAGTTGGTAGAGGAAATACATGCACTGTTTATGTATTTTTTGTGGGTTTTTTTTTTTGTGTTTTTTTTTTTTTTTTCTGAGACAGAGTCTCACTCTGTTGCCCCGGCTAGAGTGCCGTGGTGTCAGCCTAGCTCACAGCAACCTCAAACTCCTGGGCTCAAGTGATCCTCCTGCCTCAGCCTCCCGAGTAGCTGGGACTACAGATATGCGCCACCATGCCCGGCTAATTTTATCTATTTTTAAAGTTGTTTGGCTAATTTCTTTCTATTTATAGTAGAGACGGGGTCTCGCTCTTCCTCAGGCTGGTTTCAAACTCCTGCCCTCGAGCAATCCTCCTGCCTCAGCCTCCCAGAGTGCTAGGATTACAGGCGTGAGCCACTACACCTGGTCTGCTCTAGAATTTTTTAAACAGGTATCCAAGAATCTCAGAACTTCTGCTGGATCTGGTTTACATGAGCACACGTGTCTCCTCGCAAGGGTGCGCAGAACACGCCTCCGGTGGACAGCCCTCACAGAGTCCGTTTACCGGGCAGTGACCTCGGTTGGGTGGGCCTGGATCTCATTTTCACGTCAGACTGAGGCCAGTGGTGCAGGTGGAACGTCTGCCTGTGTGTGCTTTAACTACGGAATGACGTCACATCGATATGTGTGTTTAAGGGAAATGTTTTGTCCTGGAAAGTTTGTTTCCTGAGCTCTGCTGGGTGAGATCCTTGGAATGGCCCTGCCAAAGGGCTGAGCAGCCATACGGCTGCTCGCCCCTCTGTACGATTTGGTAAGAACACTTCATTTCTGTAAGTATGGCCTTAAATATTCGTCTTTCTTTCTTCAAACCCTGTTAAGTGCCACTCAACTTGGCCATTGGAGACCAAACCATCCTTGCCAGCTCAGCTGTCTCGTGACTTCGGACCTGACAAGGTGCCCTGGCCGACCCTCTACCTGAGTGAATGAACTTTTCCAGTTCCTTCTCGTTCTCCGCGAGCAGGTACATGGACTCATCCTGGCCCTCGTCCCCGGAGCCGCCCTCCTCGTCGCCGAGTGATGGTAGCCGGATGTTTCTGTAAAGCGTCTCCAGCTGCTGCCTTTCCTCCGCCTGGGCCAGTCGGCTGGAGAGCAGTACAAGCACACTGAGAAGCACGGTCTCCACAGTGAGTCGTCATGTCTTAATCGTGCGGCTTTTTGCCAGGAAAGGATTCACTGATGGGGGTGGTAGGTGGACGGTGAGGGATGGGAGGCAGAAATAGACTTTTAAACCAAACTACTCACAGTCAGAGCTCAGCCTTCCATGCCACCAGGCCATTTTCTGGAGTAAAGGGTGACCCTGATACTCCAGAAGCAGAGCCCAAGGCCGGGGCTAGGAACCAACAAGGGACTCCTATTGGTACAAGCCTAAACAGGCTGACAGACCCATGATCAAGACAAACCGTATTTCAATGCAATATTTTACAAAATAAAAATTAATGACAAGGCCGGACACGGTGGTTCACGCCTGTAATCCTAGAACTCTGGGAGGCCGAGGTGGGCGGATTACTCGAGGTCAGGAGTTCGAAACCAGCCTGAGCAAGAGCGAGACCCCATCTCTACTAAAAATATAAAGAAATTAGCTGGACAACTAAAATATATAGAAAAAATTAGCCGGGCATGGTGGCACATGCCTGTAGTCCCAGCTACTCAGGAGGCTGAGGCAGGAGGATTGCTTGAGCTTAGGAGTTTGAGGTTGCTGTGAGCTAGGCTGACGCCACGGCACTCTAGCCCAGGCAACAGAGTGAGACTCTGTCTCAAGAAAAAATGAAAAAATAGTGAAAGAATCCGATGATGAACAAACATCAAGCACCAGAAATAAAAACAGGCATGGGTATTTTTAAAAAACATGATCGTTTCCTGTTGTAGACGATTGCTGAATATGTGCTTGGTCCAAAACCACTATTGATCCCATACTTAAAAGGATTATTCTGTTTATTGTGGGCATTGTTTGGGGCCACGCTCAATATAACATGTTTAAAAATTAGATTAATTGGGTATTTATTTGACTACTGAGGTTTTGTTTGAACACGTCCTTAGAAATTTTGCGCCGCTGGTTATTGAACATTCCGGTCAGCCTCAGGTGTAGGGGTAGCTAGGGTCCAAGCGGAAAGTGGATCGCTGAACGGGACCGTATGCCTGTTGAACGTGGGAAATGGAGTTTACAGAGGGTTTACTCCGTTTTCTTTCGTTCTTCTGTTCGTTCTTGTCTTTCTTTTTTTCTTTCTTTCTTCTCTCTTCTGTTCTTTCTTCTCTTTCTTTTTCGTTTTTTTCCGCTTGTTCTTTCTTCGTTCTTTCTTTCTTCGTCTCTTTCTTTGCGTTGCTTCTTTCTTTTCTTTTCTTTCATTTTCTTTCTTTTCTTCTTTCTTTCTCTCTCTCTTTCTTTCTTTCTTTTTCTTTCCTTTCTTTCTTTCTCTCTATTTCATATATATATAAATATATATATATATATCCTCTTCTTTGTTTCTTTCTTTCTTTCTTTCGTTCTTTCATGTTCTTTCTGTCACTCTTTCTGTGTCTCTCTTTCTCTCTCGTCTTTTCTTCTTCTCTTTCTCTCTCTCTCTCTCTCTTCTCTCTCTCTCTCTTTCAAGACAGAGTCTCGACTTTTGCCCCAGGCTACAGTGAGTGCCGTGGCGTCAGCCTCGCTCACAGCAACCTCAACTCCTGGGCTCAAAGCGATTTCCTGCGTCAGCCTCCGAGTAGCTGGGATACAGGCATGCGCCACCATGGCCCGGCTTATATTATCTCCCTATTTGTTTATGTTTGTCCAGCTATTTCTTTATACGTGTGTAGTCGGAGCCCGTCCCTCGAGCTGGTCTCAAGCTCCTGACCTTGAGCGATCCTCCCGCCTCGGCCTCCCAGAGTGTTAGGATGACAGGCGTGAGCCACTGCACCCAGCCTACTTTTTCTTAAGATACTTACCTTCCTAGTTCTGTGTGACTTATGCAATAAAAAATATTTTTAGGGTTAGCTTATGTTCCAAGCGGCGGTGATGGAGGAAAGAGTGTGTGTCGGGGGAGCATTCCAGAAGCTGTAAGGCAACAGGAACTGGCCTCGCCATAAATGTTATTAAGATAATCAAGAGGTTGGGGCAGAGCCAGGATTTGGATGAGGAGAGTAAGGCAGGTGCAAAATGGAAGGAGGTGCCAAGACACCCAGCAATAAAGATAAATGTCTTAACTCAGTATCTGTAAAAATTGAAATGTATGCAAAACAAATCCATGATAAAACCAAATATCAAAAGTTTAGATAAAGACAGGATCCAGCAGTGCAGTGTTGGACTATGTGGAGCCTGAGTCAAAAGGGAAAGTTAGTCCCTATGTACATGTGTTTACATGTGTTTAAATGCTTATTCTTTTCCAAAACACTAAAGAAGTTGAGAATATATTTAAAAATTGAAAACTGGTATATGAAAAGTCATGACACTAAGTTTAAATATTTTATCTATATCGGAAACATAATTAATTATAATTTTACTTTCCTGGCGCAGATACAAATGTGAAAACTATAAGAGTTGACTTTAGGCCAGGCGTGGTGGCTCACGCCTGTAATCCTAGCTCTCTGGCAGGCCGAGGTGGGCGGATCGTTTGAGCTCAGTTGGAAACCAGCCTGAGCAAGAGCGAGGCCCCGTCTCTACTATAAATAGAAAGAAATTAATTGGCCAACTAATATATATAGAAAAAAATTAGCCGGGCATGGTGGCAACAGAGTGAGACTCTGTCTCAAAAAAAAACCAAAAGAGTTGACTTAGCCCAACAATTTGATTGAACACAGAAAGCCCAGGGTATATGTTTTAGTGAGCTATCTTAGAAAACTTTATATTTGTTAAAATTTTTGTCTATAATAATTAAATATAAGGAATGGCAGTTAACATGATTTAGGTGAATGTAAATCGCCTAGTTAGATAACCTAGAACCAAACATGCAGGTTACATTCTCTCATTAGCAAAATTTCTTCCATTTTACCTTTAATCTCATTTTGTGTTTATATGACGTACCGTGTTTCCCCGAAAATAAGACCTACCCATAAAATAAGCCCTAGCAGGATGTCTAAGCATTTGCGCAATAGAAGCCCCAGCCCGAAAATAAGCCCTAGTGATGGGCGTGGCCACGCAGCGCGTCTGCACAACCCATGGGTGTGGTGTCGGAGCGGGAAAGAACACAAGCAGCCCTTCTCATCTGCCCCGTGAGAGCTCTGTGGCTCCACATGAGAGATTGGGGCCGATGGTTCTAAAGGAAATAGAGTTGCAAGAAATTCAGGATGGATTTCGGGGTTTGGAGAGTGATGATGATGTTCCAGAAGAAGGTGACTTCACTCTATTTGAATACATGTAGATTGTTGTACCGTACTTAAAAAAAATAACACGTCCCCTGAAAATAAGCCCTAGGGTGTCTTCTTGAGGAAAAATAAATATAAGACCCTGTCTTATTTTCAGGGAAACACAGTTCTACTTTCAGATTATCACATCACTTCCAAGAGCTTGACCCCAAGCTTTATTTGAGAAGGTGAAGTATCTTCCCAAAAAGCTATTAGCCCATAATGCATTAAAAATTTCTAGTGAAAATGAGAATGGTCAATTTTTTCTGCTTTGTATTGTTAATATTCCTTCCAAAGTATCAATTTTATCAGTTAATTTTAGAATATCCCATTTTGGGAGGATGCTAGCATCTCAAATCATATCTTTCAGATGTTTTTGACCATGACCCACAGTGAGAAATATATTTTATTTGACAACGACGTGTGTGTGTGTGTGTCTCATGCGTTTCTGTCTCAAAAGTTTAAAAATCAGCATTTACTAACACTTTAAATAGTGCTTTCCAATATTTTCTATTCTGGTAAATTGTGTTCTGTCCTGTTTCTCCCCCCACCCCATTTCTATCATAACCCAACATGAGTACAATCCACATTTTGAAAAATACTGGTCTGGAAATTTATAATGACTATAATAATTCAGCAATTATAATAATTACCATCATCATCATTATTAGCATAATTGTCATGTGTTTTTTTGTTTTTTGTTTTTTTTTTTTGAGACAGAGTCTCGCTTGTTGACCAGGCTAGAGTGAGTGCCGTGGCGTCAGCCTAGCTCACAGCAACCTCAAACTCCTGGGCTCAAGCGATCCTCCTGCCTCAGCTTCCCAAGTAGCTGGGACTACAGGCATGCGCCACCATGCCCGGCTAATTTTCTATATATATTAGTTGGCCAATTAATTTCTTTCTATTTATAGTAGAGACGGGGTCTCGCTCTTGCTCAGGCTGGTTTCGAACTCTTGACCTCGAGCAATCCGCCCGCCTCAGCCTCCCAGAGTGCTAGGATTACAGGCGTGAGCCACCACGCCCGGCAATTGTCATGTTTTGACAATAAAAAATAACCTAGTTGATTAGTTATGTCTTCTTAAGGATAGCAGATGCTATTAGCATACACTTACTATATCATATAGGAGATCACCATCCCACATATCAGGGCAACGCTGAAGGCTATACTTGCAATTAACATTACTTGAACAAGAGCAGGTCTATGTGGAATTATTGCTAAAAACGGAGAAGAAAAGAAGCTGTCAAAAAATTTCATTTTAGCTGCTTCTCTCAGTTAATGAATTTGTTAATCATATTGCTGATATGAAAGGGAATAGGAGACAAAATCAGAAATGCCTTTAAAGATAGCATGCTTAATTTTTAAAAGTAATGGTTAGATCGCACAGGCTGTGTGAACAAATATAATTTGCATTCCCAACAATCCCTGACTCCCTTTTTTGTCCACCTCCTGTCCTTGTTCAAAGCCCTCTTCTTTTCTCTGCAGAGACACTGGAGCCCTGACCGCAGAGGCAGCACCCATCGTCTAGGCAGCTGAAAGGCGCGTGGCCTTCCTCTGAGGATCTAAGTTGGGTGGTGCTGTCATGAAAGATATCACAGGGCAATTTAGGACAGAATTCCATGTTCCTGCATGCCAGGAGTTGCACTTTAGGGCTAGAGAATGTGCTATAAAACCATGGCTGTTCTTTGTAGGCTCAGTTTTATCATCCTTCTTCATATTATCTGAAATTTTAAAAAATAACCAGAGAGTTATTTTTTTTTTTTTGAGACAGAGTCTCGCTTGTTGCCCAGGCTAGAGTGAGTGCCATGGCATCAGCCTAGCTCACAGCAACCTCAAACTCCTGGCTCAAGCAATCCTGCTGCCTCAGCCTCCCAAGTAGCTGGGACTACAGGCATGCGCCACCATGCCCGGCTAATTTTATATATATATTAGTTGGCCAATTAATTTCTTTCTATTTATAGTAGAGACGGGGTCTCGCTCTTGCTCAGGCTGGTTTCGAACTCCTGACCTCGAGCAATCCGCCCGCCTCAGCCTCCCAGAGTGCTAGGATTACAGGCGTGAGCCACCGCGCCCGGCTACCAGAGAGTTATTGTTTGCACAAATTGAACAAAAGAGCAATTGTCAAGGTAAGTAATTACTCAGCCACTTGTAAAATCTGGCAAACTGAGGCAGCACTTGCAAACACTTGCCCTTCCCTCACTTTCTGTTCCTTCCCAAGGCAGGATGAAGAATTCAGCCAACTGAGCTGAAACGGACCGAGAATGAGGGTATGATTGCAGGATTCAAACACTCTGTTTTAAATGCTTGTATTTTCTCAGTGAAGGGGCAAACAAGATCATCCTGTGAGAGCAGGTCTGGGGTAGAATACATTGAGGAATTTGTAGACCAAGAACGGTATATGAGAAAGTCACCAGGCAGGCTGGGAGAATAAGTAGACTAGGGAAATGGAATAGGACAGATTTTTTTTTTAATTCAAGAAGAATTTCCTAGAAATGCAACTGCTGAGTGTATTGGTTATATTTTCATATTTTCTATATTCTTTTTTTTTTTACAGATACCATATTTTTTTTTCTGGCATATGATGGGGGTACAGATTTTAAGGTTTCAATAAATGCCCTTTCCCCCAGATGGTGCACATCTCACTCATTATGTATGTATATACCCGCCCCCCTCCCCCCTCCCACCTGCCCAATACCCTATTACTGTAGTACCTGTGTGTCCACTTAGGTGCTGTTCAGTTAATACCAGTTTGCTGGTGAGTATATGTGGTGCTTGTTTTTCCATTCTTGAGATACTTCACTTAGTAGTATGGGTTCCAGCTCTAACCAGGAAAATATAAGATGTGCTATATCACTGTTGTTTCTTAGAGCTGAATAGTACTCCATGGTATACATATACCACATTTTATTAATCCATTCTTGGATTGATGGGCACTTGGGCTGTTTCCACAGCCTTGCAATTATGAATTGTGCTGCTATAAACATTCGAGTGCAGATGTCTTTTTTGTAGAGTGTCATTGGATCATTTGGGTAGATGCCCAGCAATGGAATTGCTGGATCAAATGGTAGATTCACTTGTATCGCTTTAAGGTATCTCCATATTGCTTTCCACAGAGGTTGGACTAGTTTGCAGTCCCACCAGCAGTGTAGGAGTGTTCCTCTCTCTCCACATCCACGCCAGCATTTATTGTTTGGAGACTTTTTGATAAAGGCCATTCTCACTGGAGTTAAGTGATATCTCATTGTGGTTTTGATTTGCATTTCCCTGATGATTAGAGATGTTAAGCATTTTTTCATATATTTGTTGGCCATTCTTCTGTCTTCTTTAGAAAAGTTTCTGTTCAAGTCCTTTGCCCACTTTTTAATGGGGTTATTTGATTTTTTCTTGCTGATTTTCATGAGTTCTAAGTATATTCTAATTATCAGCCCTTTATCGGATGCGTAGGATGCAAAAATTTTCTCTCATATATTTTCTATATTCTTGATGCTCTGGCATTTGGGGCCTTGATTCTGGATCGCCCCTTCCAGGCCTAGCTATTTCCTGGAGAGAGCAAACAACTCCCCGCAAATCTGCTTTTGGTATCTAAGCCAACCGATCCAGAGCCCACATCCACAGTCAGCTCCTTTATCAAACTCCAAGCCAATATTCCCCCTACCCTGCCCAAAGTCACCCAGGGCCAGATACTAGACAACTAGAAACATCCCTATAACCCAGAGCTTGCTGAAATTATTCAAACTACTTAATCCTAAATTTACTCAGCATATTTGACCTTCCTCGCCCATTCCTTCCCTTAGAAGCCCCAATAGAGGCTCTGAGCTATGCTCACCCCTCTCCTCCTTCTGCCCCCTGGCTGACTCTGGTGTTTCCCATGTGACCCTGCCTTGCAGCCCATGTCTGCTGTTTCTAGGAATCTGTGAGCATAAGCTTTTTGCTTCTTGATGATCACTTCCAAGTCTGGGTGTCTTACCATTATCATAACTGAATTAAATAAATCTCAGGTATATTTCAACACTCTAGGTCAAAAAGTAAAGGCATTGTTTTTATATTTATAAGAATTGTCGGCCGGGCGCGGTGGCTCACGCCTGTCATCCTAGCACTCTGGGAGGCTGAGCCGGGTGGATTGCTCAAGGTCAGGAGTTTGAAACCAGCCTGAGCAAGAGTGAGACCCCGTCTCTACTATAAATAGAAAGAAATTAATTGGCCAACTAAAAATATATGTAGAAAAAATTAGCCGGGCATGGTGGCGCCTGCCTGTAGTCCCAGCCCCCCTCGGGAGGCTGAGGCAGGAGGATTGCTGGAGCCCAGGAGTTTGAGGTTGCTGTGAGCTAGGCTGACGCCACGGCACTCACTCTAGCCTGGGCAACAAACTGAGACTCTGTCTCAAAAATAAACAACAACAAAAAAAACGCCAAGAAACAAAAAGAATTGTCAATTGCCTCCTCTAGAAATTACGCTCATTACCAGCTTACAAACAAGATCTGAGATTGTTTTCCTGCTCCTTTGCCAATACAGTTATGGAACACTGTGCCCACTTTCAACATGACAGAAAACTAGAATCATAGTCTTGTGAAACTAAACAATTCAAACTTAGAGCTGCTGGAGCTGTGAATTGTGCCGCGCCTTCAGAGGAACGGGCCACGCGGCACGTAGTCACAACTCCTACCTCTTATCACTGCAAATAATTAAGAAGACCAAGCAACACCAGATATAAACACCCTCAGATGGCTGCCCCTCATCATGCAGTAATAAAGTAGTCTTCCTTGGAACGCAGCAATCTGCCACCAAACAAATGGCTGTGGTGATTGTGCTAGCCCGGTCACGGTCCTGGTGCAACTTCTCTGTCTCTGCCTATGTTAGTGAACCTCACCTTCTCCACTTTGGAAACACTGAAATCATTTGTTTGGAGTCAGTTTCCCCTGAGTCGTCATCCTTAAGCTCTGTGCTCTGATAAACTCTGTATGTAATCGTATTTTCTCAACCTCATTATGTAAGGTTGACAGTCACAATGCACATTTCTCTTTTAAGCGAGGTAGGCAGCTTTCCACAGAACCAAGAGCTAAGGGTTTCAGGAGAAAATTGGTGTCTTCCAGCAATCTGAATAGACAAATGATTTTGCCGCCCTATATCTCATCCTGCTGCAACTGGGACCCAAAGCTCAGGGGTAAGAGAAATCTCAGCAAACCTCTAGTGTTCACAAAACAAACTGATGTCAAAGGAAGGACTAGAACACTGGTTTTCTGATGCCAGGACGCAAGCTCCATGCTTTGGTGATGGTGGTGAAGAAGCAAGTGAGATATTCATAGCTGAGCTTCAGGAAGATTAATAATATGTTTGGTTTGTTTGTTTGTTTTTTGGAGACAGAGTCTTACTCTGTTGCCCAGGCTAGAGTGAGTGCTGTGGCGTCAGCCTAGCTCACAGCAACCTCAAACTCCTGGGCTCAAGCAATCCTGCTGCCTCAGCCTCCCGAGTAGCTGGGACTACAGGCATGTGGTACCATGACCAGGTAATTTTTTATATATTTTTAGTTGGCCAATGAATTTCTTTCTATTTTTAGTAGAGACGGGGTCTCGCTCTTGCTCAGGCTGGCCTCGAACTCCTGACCTTGAGCGATCTGCCCACCTAGGCCTCCTAGAGTGCTAGGATTACAGGCGTGAGCCACCACATCCGGCCAATAATATGCTTGGGATGGATGGATATATTAATAACGTTTTTTCACTTTCTGTATTTCTTGATACTTTGCCATCTTGGGGCCTTGAAGAATCTGCCCCTTCCAGGCCCAGCTAATTCCTAAAGATAGTAAATCACTCACCTGCAAACACACCTATGACATGCAAGCCAGCCGATCCACAGCCTGTGCCCTGAACAATCTCCTGTATCCAGCTCTCACCCTTCGGCCTCACACACTGTCTACCTGCCCTAAATCCCCAGGGCCAGGCACCAGACAGCTGGGGATGGACCCTGTGTCCCAGAACCCACTCAAACCACTCAACCCCCCTGATCTTAACACCTAACTTGGCCCTTCTGATGAAGACCAGAATAAAGGCTCTCACCCACATTTTCCCCTTGCTCCTTGCACCCTCAACCTACCCTGGAGCCCCCTAAAGCAGACCCTGTGTGGCAGGCTATGCTGCCTGGTTCTGGGCTATGAGTATTTTCAGTATAAAAATGCCTTCCTCCCTGCCGGGCGCGGTGGCTCACGCCTGTAATCCTAGCACTCTGGGAGGCCGAGGTGGGTGGATTGCTCAAGGTCAGGAGTTCGAAACCAGCCTGAGCAAGAGCGAGACCCCATCTCTACTATAAATAGAAAGAAATTAATTGGCCAACTAAAATAATATACAAAAAAAATTAGCCGGGCATGATGGCGCATGCCTGTAGTCCCAGCTACTTGGGAGGCTGAGGCAGGAGGATCGCTTGAGCCCAGGAGTTGGAGGTTGCTGTGAGCTAGGCTGACGCCACGACACTCACTCTAGCCTGGGCAACAAAGCAAGACTCCGTCTCAAAAAAAAATGCCTTCCTTCCAGTCATTCCCATGTCTGTGTGTCTTAACGTACCTGATCAAAACAAATTCTGGGTATGTTTTAAAGCGATGGGGCAGGGAAAGGATCCGGCACACAGTGGCTGACACACAGAAGGCACTTAGCAAATGTGCCAGGAAAGAGAAGGAAGGGTCCTTTGGTGGGAGGAGCAGCAGGGTACAAGAGTGGCCTTCTGACTTTGGGGACTCTCAGGCAAGTGGTCTTGAGGGAGTTCCAGGAGAAGCCAAGGAGGAGAGAAGGTGCTAGAAAGGCTGCTCAGGGGACTGCTGTGTATAACTGTGCATTTTGTGTGTTGCACAAAGGGATCTCGAATTCAGCCTGTGCTTCAGTGATCAAGACATGAGTCCACAGAGCTGTGCTACCGTGTTTTCCCGGAAATAAGACCTACCCATAAAACAAGCCCTAGCAGGATTTCTAAGCATTTGTGAAATAGAAGCCCCATCCCGAAAATAAGCCCTAGTGATGGGCGTGGCCACGCAGCACGTCTGCACAGCCCATGGGTGTCGTCGCAGAGCGGGAAAGACGACGAGCAGCCCTTCTCATCCGCCCCGTGACAGCTCTGTGGCTCCACGGGAGAGATGGGGCCGGTGGTTCTAAAGGAAACAGAGTCGCAAGACATTCAGGATGGAATTCAGGGTTTGGAGAGTGATGATGATGTTCCAGAAGAAGACGACTTCACTGTATTTGAACAAATGTAGATTGTTGTACTGTACTTAAAAAGATAACACATCCCCTGAGAATAAGCCCTCGGGTGTCTTCATGAGGAAAAATAAATATAAGACCCCGTCTCATTTTCAGGGAAACACGGTACTTTCTAGCCTGCCCCAGGCAGCGCCATTGCTAATCTGACCTGCAGAAGGCGCCTTTTGCTAACGTGCACAAAGGTGCTGTGTAGGCTGGTAGTGACCACCCTGGCCCCTCTGACGCCACACTCCATGGCAGCTCTGGGCATGTCCGTGGGCCCCACCCACACACCCTGACCCTCCGCTTACCTTCGTTCCTCAGGAACTCCATGGGGGTGCTAGGCAATCCAGCTAGAAGGCCACTGAAGGGAATCAGAGAGGAGAGACAGGTTTAAGACAGATGCAGGAAAACTGGAAGTAACGTGGCATTAGACAAGGAAGCCTAATGCATAGTTTTCAAATATCTAAGATTGCAAATGTTAATAAAGCCATTCCAATGCCCAGTAGAAATACGTGGGTTAATTTGCAAAAGTATGGTGTTCTGTCGCATCCAGTGTTTCTTTCATGATTATGGACCTATAAGAACATGTGCGGCCAGGCGCGGTGGCTCACGCCTGTAATCCTAGCACTCTGGGAGGCCAAGGCGGGCAGATTGCTCGAGGTCAGGAGTTCGAAACCAGCCTGAGCAAGAGTGAGACACCGTCTGTACTAAAAATAGAAATTAATTGGCCAACTAATATATATATATATATGTATATATATATATATATATGTAAAATTAGCCGGGCATGGTGGCGCGTGCCTGTAGTCCCAGCTACTTGGGAGGCTAACGCAGGAGGATTGCTTGAGCCCAGGAGATTGAGGTTGCTGTGAGCTAGGCTGACGCCACGGCACTCACTCTAGCCTGGGCAACAGAGTGAGACTCCGTCTCAAAAAAAAGAGAACAAAATACATTAGTATTTGGTTTCTGGTCTTTACGGGTTGAGAAACCTCCTCCCAGGTTGAGGACCTGGAAAGATGGAATGGGGACGTGATCTCATCGGAACGTCCGAGAGCCTCCTGCCAGGGGGACCGATAGCGACATCCTTTCCTCGGACACGAATTAGACACTGTTGTATCGCACAGATACATTTCCCTTGTGTGGGATTGGTTTGCTTATACACAACACGTGTCTCCACAAAGAGTAGCTGCCCTGACTTCATAGATTGTCAAGGTTGGTTTTGTTCTTTAAAGATAAACAGAGTTCCTCTAGCACTCAAATGAAAAAGCAACGCCTGGCTGGGTGCAGCGGCTCACACCTATAATCCCAGCACTCTGAGAGGCTGAGTCAGGAAGATCACTCGAGGTCAGGAGTTTGAGACCAGCCTGAGCAAGAGCAAGATCCCGTCTCTACTAAAACAAAATAGAAAGAAATTAATTGACCAAGTAAAAATTATATATATACAAAAAAAGAAAATTAGCCGGGCATGGTGGCACATGCCTGTAGTCCCAGCTACTCGGGAGGCTGAGGAAGGAGAATTGCTTGAGCCCAGGAGTTTGAGGTTGCTGTGAGCTAGGCTGACGCCATGGCACTCACTCTAGCCTGGGCAGCAAAGCGAGACTCTGTCTCAAAAAAAAAAAAAAAAAAAAAAAGGCAACACCTAGAAGACAAATGGTTACAAAGAATGCTGTACACTTGCAAAGCATGCACCTGGGCCCACATGCTCTGTTGCCAGAACGCCAGCACCAAATTACAATTAAAGTCACACAGACACATTCGTATAGTCTGGATGGAATCAAGGTTTTTATGTGTGTCAGTTAAAGTGAAATGAAAGAATGTAGTAATCCCCAAAGAGAGACCACAGCTTACAGAGTGAAGAGTGTAAGTTTTAATTTAATTTTTTAAATTTAATTTAGGAGCAAATGTTTACCTAATTACACTATATATTATGGATCTTTCTACTAACAAATACACAAGGCACATGCACATAGCAGATAAGAGAACCCCATTTCACTGAGTAATTCAGCAACTTACCTGCGAGTCTTGAGGAAATACCTTGAATCCCAAATAATTGAGTTTCACTCAAGAGCACTTTGGCCTGGTTGGTGACTTTTCTGGGTGTTTGTGACTGTTTATTGCCTTGAAAAAAAAACTTGTGGTGGTGAAATATAATTACCTTCTTTTTATCTCCCCTGAAACGGCTTTTTAATTCTCCTGAGACAAGTGGAATCAGTGGTTGAAGCTACCTGGCAAGATTGTTAATTTCCCAACTGGAGGGAGCCTGGCTGCCTAAGGCAAACATAAATGGAGTGGGCAGTCTATTAAAAACAAAATTTAAAAAAAAGTGAAAAAGCTTTGAACCTTGTCTGTCACCCTAAAATTGTCAGTCTTTTATCATATGGATGGAAGGGATGTTGAGCCACAGTTCCTGTACATATCGGAGGAACTAGGAGACTCTGCTTCCTACGGAACGTCTGGGTTGTGACTGGGAGCCGCCAGTGTGAGGTCAGCCCTGTGGACACAATGGATTTGCTCCATGGAGCCAATCAGCCAATGGGGGACTGTTAGCCCGGAGTCAGGAGCAGCGTGCTGGGGCAGGTCCCTGCCTTCAGCCAGAGCACAGATTAGTGAGGAGGCAGAGAGAAATCAGTCACAGTTGGCCCTCTGTGTCCATGGGCCATGTCCCATCCATGGATCCAACCAATCACAGATGGAAAATATTTGAAAAAAAATTTTTGTGTGTACTGAACGTGTACATACATTTTCGTGTCATTATTCCCTAAACAATGCAGCACAGCAACTATTCACATAGTATTTACATTGTATTCGGTGTTATAAGTAATCTAGAGATGACTTAAGTATACGGGAGGATGTGCATAGATTATACCAAATACAGGGAATTTTAATCAGGGACTTGAGCGTCTGCAGGTTTTGGTGCCTGTGGGAGGTCCTGGAGCCAGTCCCCACAGGTGCAGCGGGACGAAGGCATTCTGTGGAGACTCGTAAAAGCCAGGGGAGAAGGCCGCAGAGCTACATGGGGCAATGGGCACACAGTCAAAACGCCTGGGTTCTCGTCCTCGTGTCTGGCTTCCTAGGAGTTCAAGCTTGATCATGTTACTCAAGCCGCTGAGCTTCCGGCCCCTTATCTGTGAAGTGAGAGGAAGGATTAGTACCTACCTCACAGAGTTGCAGCGATGGTTAATGCAATCCACGCAAAGCACAAAAAACCAGAATAGCCGCTAAACGAATGTTATACGGGATAGTGTCAATATTTGCAGTAAAACAACTCAGTCACCTCCACCCTCTGGGGACTTCAGAAACTGGGTCTCAAGTGGTGGCCTCCACAAGTTTCTTTGAAGAAGACAGAATAATCCTCAAAATGTGGAGATAGGGTTGCGGGAGAGACAGCGCAGGAGTCAGAGCCTCGCGCCTTTTCCCGACCCACTTACTGGCAGCAGTTCTCAGAGTGCGCAGCTTCTGTCCACCTTCACCAATCACAACGCGAAGCCCCTGGGATTAGGGTTTCATTCCTCCTGCACCAGACCAAGCAAAGCAACTGTTCTTTTTGAATGTTTGCTGAGTGGGAAGGCCAGGACCCTCCAGATATACCCGAGCAGTGGGTATCCGCGGGGGTCCTAGGTGGTCTCTGTCTCTCTGTTTGCAATCTCAAACCTGCCTTGTTAGCCCTATCCAGATGAGCTAACCTGCTGTGTTTCTCTGTGGACTTGGGCTGTCAAGCTCTCCATGGGAACTACTGTCTTTGGAATTATTTTTAGGGTATGTCACTGGTCGCTACTGCCTTGCCTACCCATTCCCCACAGGTCTGTGAGCGCCCGGCTCTTCCTGGACTTGGCCTTGGTTCTTACATCCCATGTGCCCAGCCAGGCTGGGTGAATTGTGCTGACCCACCAAAATTCCACTTTGGGTCAATGATGCAACAGATGTGTAAAGGGTATCTTTTAACCCTATTGTTTCATTTTATAATCTCAAATTATAAGTAGGCATTAGTAAACTGTTACATTTGACATAACGAGATTAATATAGAATTTTAAAAATATATTAGGCAGCTTGTTTCAGAAAATAGAATTCTTGGCTGGGTGCGGTGGTTCACGCCTGTAATCCTAGCACTCTGGGAGGCCGAGGCAGGCAGATAGCTGGAGGTCAGGAGTTCGAGACAAGCCTGAGCAAGAGCGAGACCCCGTCTCTACTAAAATTAGAAGGAAATTAATTGGCCAACTAAAAACATATACAAAAAATTAGCCGGGCATGGTGGCGCATGCCTGTAGTCCCAGCTACTTGGGAGGCTGAGACAGGAGGATCACTTGAGTCCAGGAGTTTGAGGTTGCTGTGAGCTAGGCTGACATCATGACACTCTAGTCCGGGCAACACAGTGAGACTCTGTCTCAAAAAAAAAAAAAAAAGGAACTTTTGAAAATCTTCTAGTCAGTGCTTTCTCAACGTGGCTATGAATCTGTGCATAGGTTATACATAGAATCATTGTAATATTGTGAATAATTACAGCATCTAAAATGAGAATATGGCTGGGCACGGTGGTTCATGCCTGTAATCCTAACACTTTTGGAAGGCTGAGGTGGGAGGATCACATGAGGTCAGGAGTTCGAGACCAGCCTGAGCAAGAGCAAGACCACATCTCTACAAAAAATAGAATAACTAGCTAGGGATGTTGGTGTGTGCCTATAGTCTCAGCTACTTGGGAAACTGAGGCAAGAGAATCACTTGAGCACAGGATTGTGAGGTTGCAGTGAGCTATGATAATGCCACTGTACTCTGTCCCAGGCAACAGAGCAAGACTCAAGACCCTGTCTTCAATAAATAATTAATAAGAATAAAAAACATATATACACCAAAAAAATCTAGTGATATATTTAAAGGAAAATTGAACTGCTTTTTTGAAATTTTGAGATATAAAATCAGTCATTATAATTTTTGAGTGACTTAGGAGGGAAATTTTTCAAAATACTGAAAATTGCCTGTGTTTGTTCAAAATAAACAACTGAGACCAAAAGTAAAATGATAAAAAGTTAATCAAAATTTAACAGAAATCATATTTTCTGTTAGAAAAGGTGGTAAAATCTTAAGTATTTAGAATTAGAACTCTTGCACAGCACTGAAGCTGGGAAAGAGATTTAGACTCTGAATTAATCTTTGATTTTTAAATGCAATCATATTAAATTACATTTGTATTTAAAATCTGTTTGTTGTCACTGATTTCATTCTTCTTTTTCTTTTTTTTTTGAGACAGAGTTTCACTCTGGTGCCTGGGCTAGAGTGCCGTGGCATCAGCCTAGCTCACAGCAGCCTCCCTGGGTTCAAGCGATCCTCCTGCCTCAGCCTCCCGAGTAGCTGGGACTACAGGCATGCGCCAGCCACCATGCCCGGCTGATTTTTTCTATATACATTAGCTGTCCAATTAATTTCTTTCTATTTATAGTGAGACAGGGTCTCACTCTTGCTCAGGCTGGTTTCAAACTCCTGACCTCGAGCAATCTGCCCACCTCGGCCTCCCAGAGTGCTAGGATTACAGGCATAGAGGGAAGAAATCTTAAGGGCCATCTTAGAATTCCACCACCAACACATCCAAAGCCCTTTGGGAACTTTCACAAAATACAAATTCACAAGCTCCAACCTAAAAGACCACCTACTGCTTCAGTATCTCCTGGGTGAGTTCTGGGTATTTTTGTTTTTAAATGATCTCTCCAAACAATTCTGATGCCTAGGAAGCTTTGGAAACTGATATTGTCCGTCCATCTTGTGTGAGTGACAGGGAAAATGTCCTAAGAATATTTCACCTGACCTATGCACTTCTTTCATTTCACCCTTGAAAGTGCTTTTCTTATTCCTGAGAAAGAGTTCCCTTCATGGTTGTTTCCTTGTCCCGAGACAGGTTATGTGATCTCCCCTCCACTCACTCCAGCTGGGCCGCAACTGCTCACAGGCGAGCTCTCCCTCTCCCGCCTGTGAGGCCAGCCTGGCCTCCAGTGTGGAATGGGAGGGGCCGCACACCCACACCCGGGGCTCAGCCTTGCTGCATTCCTGTCCGGACTATGAACCCTAGTTATTTTGATTGAGCTACACCTTATTTCTTACAGTAGAAACAGAACCTTTTGTCTTGATTGTTACCGTGTGTCCCTGAAAATAAGACCTACCCATAAACTAAGCCCTAGCAGGATTTCTAAGCATTTGGGCAATAGAAGCCCCACCCTGAAAATAAGCCCTAGTGATGGGCGTGGCCACGCAGCGCATCTGCACAACTCATGCGTGTCGTCACGGAGCGGGAAAGACGACGAGCAGCCCTTCTCATCTGCCCCGTGACAGCTCTGTGGCTCCACGTGAGAGATTGGGGCCAATGGTTCTAAAGGAAATAGAGTCGCAAGAAATTCAGGATGGAATTCGGGGTTTGGAGAGTGATGATGATGTTCCAGAAGATGACTTCACTATATTTGAATAAATGTAGATTGTTGTACCGTACTTAAAAAGATAACACATCCCCTGAAAATAAGCCCTAGGGTATCTATCTCCTTGAGGGAAAATAAATATAAGTCTCTTTCTTATTTTTGGGGAAACACGGTACCTTCACAAGTTAGGTTCTGCTTTCTTCCTAAAAGTTTCTTTGACTGGAGTTCTACCTCTGTTACTGCCCAGGCAGGTTTGTTGCCCAGGTAGGTTCACTGTCCATTGTTCAAGAGGAAGCCAATACACTGAGGCAGCAGGGGTTACAAAAGAGAAAGAGTTTAATGTTGCAGGGCACCATGCGCCATCTGAGGAAACAAGAGGAATTTCTCAAATCCATCTCCCCAAGAATTTCTGGGCCAGGGTTTTTAAGTATACTTTGGTGGGCAGAGGACTAGGGAATTGGGCCTGTTGATTGGCTAGGGGTGAACTCATAGGGTTGGGAAGCAGAAATTGTCTTCTTGCACTGAGTCAGTTCCCAGAATGCAAGACCCTCTGAGTTGGTTCCTTGCAGTGGGTTGACTGATCCACTGGAATGCAGGGTTTGGGCAGTATCTCAAAGATGAGTCTAAGGTTTCACAGGGTGAGGTAATCTGTGGGAACAATGAGGAAAAGCTAAGAATCTTTATGACCAACAACAGCTGGCTATTCTTGAAATAGAAATGAAAATGTATGGATAATCTACATAATAACATGATACTAGTAATTCTTCCCTTTAATCCATAAATTTAGCAATTTCCCCTCATTATTCCATCTCAAAATTCCTGAACATCTATGTCTAAAAGCAGAGCACCATACCTAAGTCTTTGTAGAATTACTGAATGATTTTCTACTGTACTCTGAGTTTGGAGCTGGCAGAGACATAGTGGTTCTTATCCACATGAGATTAAATTCCCTTGCAGACTGAATAGTCACCTACCTACTAACGAACGATAAAGTCAGCAGCCAATTCTCTGAAGAGCTCAGGGGTTATTTTACTGGATTAGGAAAAAATGTTCTTCCGTGGCAGGGGAAGCTGAACTAAGAGACCCGGTATTGCTGCCGAGGGGCTCAGGGGCAGCGGTGGGGAACAGGAGGTCTCCAGCTCAGAAGAGTTCATAAGCCACTGACCTGGGCTCACAAAGTAAAACAGAAAGTCAAGACAGAGGAGAGTGTAAAAGGAAACAAACGTGCTCGCCAGGGACACGAAGGTGCTTGTGGCTCAGGCCTCATGGGAAGGTCTAGGGTGAGTCTGAGGTCGGGAATGCATCTGAGCAAGACAAAGACCACGGATCCCAGTCACACAGCAGCGGAAACATACGTGACTGCAAACACTGATGTAATTAAACTGTCTGGCACAACCTGAGAACAGCACCCATATTTTCCCAAACTTGCGTTTCTGTTCTTCACTTGTTCAGCCACTCTCCTGGGAGTAGAGGCACTAACCAACAGACACGGGATCAAGCCCGGGAAAGAGCAAGAGCTAGGGCATTTGAGGATCTCATTCTCAGTGCCATCCAGGGAAACTGAGGTTCAGCTAAATGGCCTAGAAGTCCCTGCAGAGGCAGGTGGTGCTGACGGAAATCCCTCTGGCCACTTTGTGCAGCTAGAGGACAAGTCTGCATCTAGTATCATCCAGGAAATATCTCAAACCCCAAGCCGCCATTGCCTGTGGGACCTCTCTAGAGAAAAGAGCCATGTTGTCAGCCAAGACCACCTGGCTGAGAACCAGGTTTGTGGGTCTCGCCTTGTGTCCAGTGAGCAAGTGACATTATAAAGACACAAGAGAGATGAGACTCCCAGGATCCCCGCTCCTGACTGACGAAGATAATCCCCATTTTCAAGTTGGCAGAGCTCATCCCATCAGTATCTAGACGTTGATTTTAATCACAGATCCGGAAACAAACTAAAGTTATGTGTTACTGCTCAACAAAGTCAATGATAAAATGTCATCCTAAAAATTGGAATTAAAAGTGTGTCCCTCGGGCCGGGCATGGTGGCTAACACCAGTAATCCTAGCACTCTGGGAGGCTGAGGCAGGTGGATTGCTCGGGGTCAGGAGTTCGAAACCAGCCTGAGCAAGAGCGAGACCCCGTCTCTACTATAAATAGAAAGAAATTAATTGGCCAACTAATATATAGAGAAAAAAATATTAGCCGGGCATGGTGGCACATGCCTGTAGTCCCAGCTACTTGGGAGGCTGAGGCAGGAGGATCCCTTGAGCCCAGGAGATTGAGGCTGCTGTGAGCTAGGCTGATGCCACAGCACTCACTCTAGCCTGGGAAACAAAGTGAGACTCTGTCTCAAAAAAAAGTGTCCCTCGGGCCGGGTGTGGTGGCTCACGCCTGTAATCCTAGCAGTCTGGGAGGCCGAGGTAGGAGGATTGCTCAAGGTCAGGAATTTGGAACCAGCCTGAGCAAGAGCGAGACCCCGTCTCTACTAAAAATATAGAAAGAAATTAATTGGCCAACTAAAAATATATAGAAAAAATTAGCCGGGCATACTCGGGAGGCTGAGGCAGGAGGATCGCTTGAGCCCAGGAGTTTGAGGTTGCTGTGAGCTAGGCTGATGCCACAGCACTCTAGCCTGGGCAACAGAGTGAGATTCTGTCTCAAACAAATAAAAAATACACGGAATTTAAACGGAACCAAAGAGAGA